CTGCAACGGTGCAAGCGAGCTCGACAAGAATAATGATAATAATCCCTGGAGAAGGGGAACAAGGTAGACAAAGGACAAACACAAATCACCCAACACGCTAGGTGGATGGTGTGCGACTAAAACAAAATCCGCCTGGTCCTGGAATTGAACAAGGGTCCTCACGATCTCCAGTGGAGTGGTCTCCGTAGAGAGGTCAGCAAGGTTGTGTTGTTTATGAGAGTATGATGCAACACGATTGTCACCGGTCAATACAATAAATCCGCTTCAGGGGAAATGCATGCACAAATGCTGTGCCATCTTGAACTGTGATATTACAGTTGCAATATCTTTGAGCTTATCAGTAAATTTAAAAAAAGGCTCCAGAAACCACTAATGTTGGATGTCTATGAATAGTGATAGAATTCGTTATAAGACTCACGACGAAGCTCATTCTGAAAACCGTGACAGAAATGTTTAGTAATCACTTCATTTTATTATCTAAATTTTCTCGCAAACTTCACCGGGGAAACTGAATTGGTACACAGTCCGTGACGTCAATTTTTCCGCGAAATTAAGCGGGGAACCTGCGTTTGTCATTAGGTATCCTGACGTCAGGTCACGTGACATCAATTTTCTCGCCGAATTTAGCGGTGAAACTAAGAAAATGGAGGTCAGGAAGGTCGACGAAATCAGGGGGGGGGGGGGGGGGAGGTGAGCTAAAGAATGTTATCGCACTTAAACACTTGAAAAAAAAAATTTTGCGGGACCAGAGAAGAGCTTGGGTTAGACAGTTACCTATTTGCATTTAATGTACTATACACTTTAGGAATAATTGCGAATCACATATATCCGACGGGGTCAGCTCTTAGCTTGATTAGTATACAAAAACTAACTGAAAATCGCATATAGCTTTAGCAATGTGGCATATAGGTGGTGTCTAAAGGCCGCTCTCGTAATACAGGTAAAGTGGGGGTATTCAAGAGCAGACTGGCCGGTCACAGCAGTACGGGTAAACTCCAGTGCCTCGTTCCAGATGGCAGTTCGGTGGTTTTATAACGTCTATGCAACTGTGGTCAACAAATAAAACGAGGTATATTTGTTCACAAGTTAGAAGAAAAAAAACAGGACCTTCCGGTTGTTTTGACACTGGCTCTGTGGAACACTCACTGACACAAGCAAGCACGTACACCAGTTTTCTTTTTTATTCTACCTTAAACGCACGCAGATACATTTACATTTGTGCTTTAAATGAATTTGCTGGGGTAACGGAAATTATAGTGCTTTTTTGTTCTGAAGTAACCCGTGATAGCGAAGAGTCATAAAACAAATTACAGTGCATTGCAAAAAGGAATAACACCGGAAAAAAAATTAATAAAACGGTCGATAAATTTGTTCGATTTTATCATTCGTACATCATATCTAATTTTTTGTTTGATTAGGGGTGTTGGCAATTTTAAATAGAACGAAAAAACACGGGCATCAGAAATTATATTCTATTATTGCTTTCATGTAAGTTGTGTAACCAGGATAATATCCTCTAGTATCGCTTTGCAAGCTGCAGTAATAAGATTTTTAATGATAGCGGTATAAAAAAACTCAAATGCAAAATAAACATTGAAATCTATATTAGAGGTTCAGTTTAAAAGGATATATCATATATACATAAAATTATGTATCGTACAGCGAAGACGTGTTCTTTTAAAAGTAGCGATACCTCCATATTCCGTAATTGTGTTTCAAAACTTATATAAAAAAACGTGTTTTGTCTGTCTGTAAGCCAAATGTTGCCTTTGTTTTATGTGTTTCAGCTCAAAACCAAATGAGGCGACAGCGCTCCTGAACCAGATAAATCGTTTTAATACCGATTGACAACGCCATTGTTGACACGGATCAGCCAGGTTTAGTTGGTCGCCATCTGCGACGGAGTAATTCCCATACGTGCATTTCCCTGTAGAAGAAAAGAGATGATTTTTGTTCAATATTATGAGATGGTGAATCTCCATACACCGCTGCGTTTCTTCCGAATTTTCTTCCGCGTGCGAAAACAAGACCGAATTATGGGGCTGAAAAATGTTCCAGTTGTAAAGCATCAACTTTAACTCACTCTGAGAAATCGGGTATAAGCAAGAATCAATCAATCAAATAAATTTTATATATCTAAATCAAAGGTGTCGGGGGTTTCGGAGAAAATGCTAGTGTTTTTTTCACCTCAAAAATAAATTAGACAAAATGCAGTCTTCACCCGATTTGTTGTACCAGCATTTGGGACTACAGGTGAGAAGTTTCAGAACTTGACATGATCTGATTAGAAATATATATATATATTGTTGTCGAAAAGTTTCATTTATAAAATGAGATTTGTTCATTGTATCGGAAGCCATTGTTATTGATTCATCGCACTGGCCCCTTTGCACTACGATGGCTCAAGTGTGGCTAACCGTACCCGTCTTCCATGCGATAATAATTTTATTCTGATGTCTCCGCAAACAGAACAAACCCTAAATAGCTTTACACTGTCATTGGAATAGAGTAAGACACGTACAAAGAAGAAAATATCCATGCAATGTTTTATTCATTCACGCTCTAGCGGTTTGATTGCTCGTCATGAAGTGTTCATACCACAAAAAATTGATCTGTGACAGATTGATCTAGCTTGCTGTATTAGAGCCGCGGTTTTGTAAATGGAACAAACCAAGAAAAAAACTGGTACTTAAAACGGCTCAACTGAGAGGAGGCATGAAAGCAAGGGGAGCTTATATAGAAGTGATGGGTCAACAGCTTCCCTGATAATCTTACGTAGAAAGGGTAAATATTTTAAACGACTTGTATTAAGCAAAGACCGTAATCCCAGTTTCGTGAATAATCCGTCATGTCTGTAGTTGCACTCAACCGCGACATATATGTCTTACCCGCAAAATTACCAGAAAAGACAGCTGGAAATATAAATGATGTGATGTTTCTTTGGCTGAATCTAGGGTGAATAAGTGCAAACATACCTTGTTAATTGGTACCTCGATTTGTTTTTGCTCTCGCGACTTTAGGTTTAATCTAATTTGTTTTGAAGGCTAGCTAATCTACCTGTTTTTTTTTTGTTGGTTTGTTTTTTTTAAATGTGCGCAACCGCATAGTTGCTGCGTCAATTAGCCGAGTCCACCATTGCTTGGGCCCGCATTCCGAGCCTGCATTGGACACGAGAACTGCGCCGGAGTTTGGAGCGGACTGGAATATAATCAGGCGCTTAGTGTCCAAGCAATGGAGGCCTCCAAAGTTGCTTTTTTAGAGTTCTCAAAAGGGTATGGTGCACTCAATTCACTGACTGGTATAGAGGGTATAAGACTCGGTGTTGGTTCAGTCTCATACTAATTTTGCCACCTAAAACTCTTACTAGAGCTTAAAATCAAGCACCCGCTGATGGCAATTTCACCAAGGATCGAATTAAGAGCATGGAAAGCTTCTTAAAGTCGATTTAAAGTATCGACTTCATCACACTATTCGCGACTCCAGCGAACTGTAGAGGGCGCGCTGTTCAGGCAAAATGGCGGACGAAAGGAGGTCATTTTCGTCGTTCAACACGCGGACCACCACAAATTCCTGCACTGCAGCGTAAAATCGCTGTTTTATATGAAAGCAAAGCGATTTTTCCACGGTAGAAACCTTCTTCTAGTCAGTGTGTAGGAATGACACGGCTGAATCATAAAAATAATTACTGGAAACGATGTCCGTTTCTATGCTGCCTATGAGAACCAAGCAGCGATAGCAGACGACAGAGTTGAAGCGACTTCCTCTCCTGAGCTTCTCGGCGCTGCCGCTACGCGGCGTCGATTTCGCTGGAGTCGCGAATACTCACTGTCATCACAAGAAACGTCAAGCGTGCTCAGTCCAGAGCATCTTATTATCGCTCTGCGGTCAATGAGTGTGCGATATTAGAGAGTTATGGCGGATTGTCTTGATCCCTCCGACCAAAAAAAGAAAATACTGAGTTTTAGGGAACCGTTTTTGCACATTCGGTACGGTACGAGACGCTTTCCGGCACGAACTGCGCATGCGCGACCGTAGAAGATGCACACATACGCAGTGCGTACCGGAGGGTCCAAATGGAAAGGTCCTGGAATCGAACCAGGGACATCTGCTTTTCCTGTGGAGAGGAGCCTGTGGAGACGTCAACAAGTTAGCCTTGTCTCTCGTCCTAATAATGCGATGCGATTGTCACAAATCTATACAATGAATCCGCTTAAATATGTAGGCATAAATGCACGCACAAATGTTGCGCCATACTTGATTCGACTGTGGTATTACAGTGGCAATAGTTTTAAGCTTATAATAAATAAAACAAAACAAAAATTACTGCAGAAACCAATATTTTTGGTGGTCTATAAATTGTGATAGTATTCGTTACGAGACTCATGACGAAGTTAAGTGTGAATAAATACTACAACGAAAGTGTTTAGTAGAACATTTATTCTAATACTTCAATTTTCTCGCCAAATTTAGCGGGGAACTGAATAGGCGGATGAGTCGTGATAAACATTTTTCGCTAAATTGAGCGGAAAACTGAATTGATGCATAGACCACGTGACGTCAATGTATCCGAAAATTTTAGCGGATGACCCTCAATTTGTGCATAGATCACGAGTGTAAATTTTCCAAAAAATATTAGGGGGAACCTGAACTTTTCCTTAGGTCCCGTTACATCAGGTCACGTGACGTCAATTTTACCGTCAAATTCAGTGGTGAAACTTCAAATATGGAGGGCAGGAAGATTCACAAAATCGGGGGGGGGGGGGGGGGGGGGGGGAGCTAAAGAATGCAATCGCATTAAAAACACTTGAAATTGCAATACCAGAGTTCGATATTTACCTATATGCATATACTGTACTATACACCTATGCAACAATTAGGAACCACACAAATACGACGGGGACAACTGTAGGATTTATTAATATCTCAAATTAACTCCAAATTGCATATAGTTTTAGCAATGTGGCATATAGGCGGTGTCTAAAGGCCGCTCCGTAATACAGGCAGAATGCGGGCATTCAGGTGCAGACTGTCCGGTAACAGCAGTCGGGGTAAACTCCAGTGCCTCGTTCCAGCTCGCAGTTGGGTGGTTTTATAACGTCCATGCAGCTGAGTTCAGAAAATAAGAAAATGTATTAGTTCATAAGTTCGAAAACGACAGAACTTTGCGGTTGCTTCCACTATGACCCGGGGGAACATTCACTGACTTTCTGCGTATTGTGCGCGCCTTGAACGCACGCTGATAAATTTATATTGGTGCACCAAATCGATTTTTTGGGGTAACAGAAATAATAGTGGTTTTTGGTTATGAAGTAACCCGTCATAAAGAAGAGTCACAAAACAAATTACAGTACATTGCAAAAGCAATAATACCGGAGAAAAAAAAGGAATAAACAATCGATAAATTTGTTCGATGTTATCAATTGCACGTTTCATCTATTTTTGTTTGTTCTTTCACTAAAGGTGTTGACAATTTTGAATAGAAAGAAAATAGGGGCTTTAAAAATGATATCTATTGCTCTTAAGTAATTTGTGTAACCTGGGTAATGTCCTCTAGTACCGATTTGCGCGCTGTACCAACAATATATTTATGATGGCGGTATAAAAAAGAACTCAATAGGCAAAAAAAAAGTATAATAGCCTATATTACAGGTTCAGTTTTAAAGTATGTATCATGTATAACTTAAATAATTTATAATACAGCGACGACTTTTTCCTTCAGCAGTAGCTATATCTCTCCACTTATTGTAATTTTATGTTGCCTTTGTTTAATGTATTGCAGTTCAAAACAAAATGGAGCAACAGCGCCCACCTCAGCACGATGAATCGTTTTGATTCCACTTCGCAATGCCATCTTTGGCACGGATCAGCCAGGTTTAGTCGTTCGCCATCTGCGACGGTGTAATTCCCGTACGTGCATTTCCCTGCAGAAGAAAAGATATTATTTTGGTTCAGTATTATGACTTCGTGAATTTCCATGCACCACTGCGTTTCTTCCGAATTTTTCTTCTAGTGCATAAACAAACTCAAAATATGGGACTGAAGAATGTTTAGAATGTAGTTCATCAACTTTCACCCACTCTAAGAGAAAGAATAAACTAAATTTTATATATCTAAACCAAAAGTGACGTGTGTTTGGGAGAAAAGGTAGCAATGTTTTTATCACCTCAAAAATATACTAGATAAAACGCAGTCTTCACCCCATCTGTTGTACTAGCCTTTGGGACTACAGGTGCCAAGTTTCGGAACTTGAGATTGTTTGATTAAAAAGTTATAAATTGTTGTCGAAACGTCTTCTTCAGAAAATGGGATTCTTTCGTTGAATCGGACGCCACTGATCTTGAATCGTCACAGGCTTTGCGAAACGCCATTTTCTCATTGAATATTTCTTCTTTTAACTTTTGAATCAGACAACAGTAAGCTCTTAATCTTGGGCATCTGGTCAGAGCTACTGCCACTATATTTAGTGAAAGAGTAAGCGATCGGGGATGCGTGAATAATTTTTGGAACAAAAAACAAACGCGATTAATTTTTTCCCATGCGTGGATATCTAAGAAAAGCAGCGCTTCGACAAACATAAATAATGATAGCTTTAAAAAAGTTTGGCACCTACCGTCTACGATTTCAGCATCACTAAATGGTAGTTTGGCCAGTGAAATCTTCAAGATTGAAGCTGAGACCACGAGGCCTAAAAGTAGTGCTGTCGGGAGCTTCATCTTGGCGTCCTGTCGCTTTCTAATGCTACTGAGGTCTGAAAGAGTTATAGTTGTTGTGGCAGCCCTCATAGTGAAATTTGAGCTTCTAAGTTTGGCCTTAATTGCGTATCTCTTGAAGCAAGATGTCCCCATTACGTTTTACAGAGATTTCTCAAGTCGGTTTAAGACAAGGCGCAAAATTCTGCAAACACTGGCCCTTTGCACTGCGGTAGTTGAAGTTTGGCTAACCGGGCTCGTCTTACATGATAATATTATTCTTTCTTTTGAGGTGTCCAAAAACAGAACAAAGCCTAAATAGTGGTACACTATCATAGGAATAGAGTAAAACATGTACACGGAAGGAAAGATACATGCAGACGTATTTTCAGGAAGATATAGGCTCAACGAGCGGTCTCAGTGAGCTTTAGCCATCGGTGATGGCGATGATGGTGGCGATATGATTATGCACGATGATGACGTTGACGTTCTTCATCACAGTATATTAATTCACGCGCTAGTGGCTTGATTGCTCGTCATAAAGTTTTTATATCGGAAAAAAATATATATGTGACAGATTAATCTAGATTGCTGTGTTAAAGTTGCATTTTTGCAAATGGAACAAAACCAAAGAATAAAAAAAGATGTTCAGAGCGAATGGATTCAGAGGAGGCGTGAAAGCAAGGGGTGCTTATATAAAAGTGATCTGTGAACCGCTGCGTAGAACCTTACGTAGAAACAGTCAATAATTTAAACGACTTATATTAAGCAAAGAACGTAATCCCAGTTTCATGAATACTCCGTCATATCTGTACTTGCACTCACACGCAATATATCTGTCACATCCGCAAAACTACCAGAAAAGACAGCTGGTAATATAAACGAAACGGTGTTTGTTTGGCTGAATCCAGTGTGTATCAGTGAAAACATGGTATCTCGATTTTGTTTTTGCTCTCGCGGCTTTAGTTTCAATCTTATTTGCCTTGAACACTGCCTAACAGACCTTTTGTTTTTAAAAAAATGCGCGCAATCTGATAGATGCTGCGTTAATACCCGAGTTCATCATTCTTTTGGCCCGAATACTGAGCCTATATTGGACACGAGAAGTGCGCCGGCGTTCAGTTGGGACTGGAATTCAATCACGCACTTCTTGTCCAAGCAATGGGGGCCACCAAAGTTGCTCTATAGAGTTTTCAAAGGGGTACAGTGCACCCAATTACCTAAATGGTAAAGATGGAATGACACGTAGTGTTGGTTGAGTCTCAGACTGCTTTGGCCATATAAACCTTGACTGGAACGTAAAATCAACAACCCGCTGATGGCAGTTTCTCTAGGGATCGAATTAAGAGCGTGGAAACCTTCTTAAAGCAGATGGAAAGTATCGACCTCATCATACTATACGCGCTGAAAGCAAAAGAAAGGGCAAGCGTTGACAAATCCCGAGCATCTTATTGTCGTTCTGCGGTCAATGAGTGTGCGATATTAGAGGGTTTAGTGGGTTGTTTTGATACCTCCAATAACAATGAAGAATTTTAGGGAGCCATATTTTGCACAGTCACTACGGTGCGAGAGGCCCTCGGGTATGAACTGCGCATGTGTGAATTACTGCGCAAGTGCTACTGCAAAAGGTTCGCACATGCTCAATGCGTACCGGAGTGTCCAAATGGAGAGGTCCTGGAATCGAACCAGGGACATCTCCATTTCCATTGGAGTTAGGAGCCTGCGGACAGGTCATCAAGGTTATTTTGTGTATGTGAGTAATGATGGGACACGGATCAGTACAGTAAATCCGCTTCAGCGTTCATACAGAAACGCATGCACAAATGTTGTGCCATACATGCTTGGCCTGTGTTACCACGTGTCGGTGGTCTATGGATTGCGAAAGCATGTTTCATGAGACTGACGGCGAAGCTTACTGAGAATACGAAGACGAAAATTTTGAGTAAACTCTTAATTTAATAATTCAAATTTCTCCCCAAATTTAGCGGGGAAACTGAAGTGCTGCATAGGCCGTGAGGTCAATATTTCCGCTAAATCTTGTGGGGAAACTCGAAGTCGGCGAGAGAAACTCATATTTAGGACTGAGTAGTCTGGTCCGGTGTCCACGAGTGCCGATGCGTCGTGGCCGTCGATATCAACGTTTAAGTTGTTGGGCACCATTGCAGGAGTTTCGTTGCGATGCCTGGCGTCGGGAGAGTGGGAGCGCTATGAGTTTGTGGTGACAAATAGTGTTTTCGGGCGACTTCGACGATCACCTGTGACAAGTCCGAGCTATTCTCAAAGCAGAACGAGCCACGCATTGCAACGACGCTCGTGCAACGGTAAAAAAACAATTTAAACCTTGTTATCGACGGCCATGACGCATGGGCACTTTAGGACACCGGAGCAAACTAATCTATCCTGAGCGGGAGGCTCTCTCGCCGCCTTCGAAAGGTGCCCGACTTAGGCGAGCGATGTACTGTCTTGCTAAGATGGCGAGGATTCTTCAGTAATCAGGGAAGTTTCGGCGCAGTTCTGGTGTTCCTCGACGTGGTCCACAGATACACCATTCGTGAGGTGTGGAGTTTCTTGTCGGAAGTTCGTCAAGTGACCCCCCAATTCACGCGACACCCCCCCCCCCCCCCTCAGGTCACGTGACCCCCCCTCAGTACCCTTCCCTACTCCTCCAAGAGCGGCGCTCTAATTAGGCGTTACAGGGAGTTGTAAACGGCTTTCACTTTTTTTTTATTAGACTTTTTTCTGCGACGTTTATCGCGTGGGCAGAAATACGAACGCGTGTTTCACTGGTCATAAACGGCAGGGATTCGTTCTAAGCCGTAGTCCCGCGAAGCACAAAAATTGTTGCACCACTCCTTTAAGCTCGGTCATCTGGACTCAACTACTAACTCTACATTAGTGAAAAACCAAACGATAAGCGATGCGTAGTTAACTTTTGGCACAAAAAACAAACAAACACTGTCATTTTTTTCCCAAGCACGTGGATATCTAAGAAAAATAGCGCTTAAACAAACACGAATAATGCAAGCTTTACAAAAAAATTGGCCCCAACCATCTCCTATCTGAACATCACTAAATGGTGGTTCGGCCAGGGAAATCTTCAAGATTGAAACTGAGACCACGAGGCCTAGAAGTAGTGCTGTCGGGAGTTTCATCTTGGCGCCCTGTCGCTTTCTAGTGCTACTGGGGTCTGAGAAGTGTTATCGCTGCTGCGGCAGCACCCGTACTCTCATTTCAGCTTCCAAGTTCGGCGTTACTTGCGTATCTCTCGAAGCAAGATGTCCCCATTCCGTTTTACAGATATCCCTCAAGTCGGTTTGAGGCAAGGCGCTAAATTTCGTAAACACTGGCCCCTTTGCACTGCGGTGGTTCAAGTGCGGCTAACCGGGCCCGTCTTCGATGAGGATAATAGTAATCTTTATTTTGATGTGTCAAGAAACAGAACAAAACCTAAATAGGGCTACACTATCAGAGGAATAAAGTAAAACATGTACAAATAAGGAAAGATAGGTGCAAACGTATATTCATTCACGCACTAGGGGCTTGATTTCTCGTCATAAAGTGTTCATACCGGAATAAAAAAATGATTTCCGACAGATTGATTACGCTCGCTCTATTAGGGTTGCATTTCTCTAAAAGTAAAAAAACCAAAGAATAAAAAAGTAGTCCGAGAAACTTGAGTCAAAAGAGGCATGACAGCAAGGGGTGCTTATATAGAAGTGATGTGTCAACTGCTGCGTTTATAACCTTACGTAGAAACAGTGAATATTTTAAACGACTTCTATTAAGCAAAGACGTAATCCCAGTTTTTTTTAAATATTCCGTCATTTCTGTAGTGGCACTCACCCGCTATATATATATATCACATCCGCAAAACTACCAGAAAAGACAGCTGGTAATATGAATGATGCGACGTTTGTTTGGATGAATCCACAGTGAATGATTGAAAACCTGGTATCTCGATTAATTGGTATTTTGATTTTGTTTTTGCCCTCGCGACTTTAGTCTTTAATCTAATTTGTTTCGAAGGCTACCTAATTGACCTTTTTTTTCCCCGAAAACGCGCGCAATTTCATGGCTGCTGCGTCAATTAGCCGAGTCTGTCAATGTTTAAGCCCGTATTCCGAGCCTGCATTGGACGGACTGCGCCCGCGTTGCGGAGAAGACTCGAACTGTATCACGCGCATCTTGTCCAAGCAAAGAGGGCCACCGATGTTGCTCTATAGAGTTTTCAAAAAGGTATATAGTGCACCCAATTACCTGACTGGTAAAGATGGAATGACACGAAGTGTTGGTTCAGTCTCAGACTGCTTTTGCCACATAAAACTTTGACTAGAACGTCAAATCAACAACCGCTCATGGCAATTTCCCCGAGAATCTAATGAAGAGCATGGAAATCTTCTTAAAGCGGATTAAAAGTACGGACTTTATCATAATATACTCACTGACAGCACAAGAAACGTCAAGCGTGCTCAGTCACGAGGATTTTATTATCGATCTTCGTCCAATGAGTGTGCGATATTAGATTTTTAGCGGATTCTTTTGATAGCTCCAAAAACAATAGAGAGTTTTAGGGAACCCTTTTTGCACATTCACCGCGGTGCGAAAGGCCCTCCGGTAAGAGCTGCACATGTGCTACCGCAGAACATTCGCACATGCGGAGTTTCGTACCTGAGGGTCTAAATGGAAAGGTCCTGGAATCAAACCAGGGACCTCTCCTTTTCCTGTGGAGAGAACCCTGTGCACAGGTCAACAAGGTTGGTTTGTTTATGTGAATAAAGATGTGACACGATTGTCACCGGTCAATTCAATAAATCCGCTTCAGCGTGCATGCTGAAATGCATGCACAAATGTTGCGCCATACGTGTTTGGACTGTGATATTTTTTTTTTCTTTATTTGATTTGCGGATAACTTTTCCGCATAGGGGGCAGAGATAAAGGCGTAATGCCTGACAGAGCCTCTGCCCCTATAGTTCAGCATAATACATGAAAAAAATGCATGCAATACAGCAAAAATAAAACTAGAATAAAACAAACAGAAAGTATCAAGAAACTTGAACAGCGTATGGCGCAATGGCCATGAATAATCTGAACTAACAGCATCAAATAATATTGAACGGATAAATGAAAATAACAGAAATAACTACAGCATATGTCATAACACAAAATTCACTTGAAACTATCATGAAACTAGTACGAAAGAACTAATATCGGGAAATTGAGTAAAAAATAAACTATACTGAAAGTGCCACAAAAACTGAACAATATGTATATACACACGCATTTACATACTCATATATACATGCATACATATGCACTGTAAACAAAGAGACATAGACATTGAAATGCACTCACTTGTGGAAAATTTGGTCTAGAAAAATATAAAAAGGCAGAAAAAGCTTTTTAGCATTTACAGTGTCAGAAATAAGATCAAATAATTACAAAATAGTACAAAATAAGCTTTGAAGTGCGTATCGTTAGTATAAAAGGTCTCAAGTTGATGAAAAAGCAATACCACTACCCACCAGGAATCTTCTGCATTCATTTTTGAATTTATAAAAAGGTTTGTCAAAGTCTATGTTTATATCGTTTCTATTTAAAGTTTTTGATACCTGAAAAGTTATTGTTTGCCTGCCATAGTTAGTCCTGATAGCAGGCATCTTTCGCTTTGGGTCTCGAAAGGTGTACACACTCAAGCTGTCTGTTGGTGTAATGTATAATTTGTTCATATAAATCCATTGCAGGAGTTTGAAGTAGTATACCTGGTCTGCTTTCAGCATATTATATTTTATGAAGAGTGGTTGTGTACGTAGATTTCTTTTATCCCCTTTAAAATTTTCGCACATACGTAATATTTTTTTCTGCAAGATTACTAGCTTATTATAGTTCGAAGCTGTAGTTGTTCCCCAAATTAAGATTCCATAGCTGATTTTCGAGTAAAATAGGGAATAATATAATGTTTGTTTCAGCCAGATGGGTAGAAGGTTTTGTATTTTATATATGCTACCAGTAACGCGTGATAATTCTGCTTTCAGTTTGTTAATATGAGTATTCCATGAGAGGTCCTCTGTGAACCATACGCCTAGAAATTTTTGTTCCACCACTTGTTCCAGCAAGGTACCTTCAAACAATATGTTGATACAGCTACAGTCTCGCCTATTGGCCGGTTTAAAAATAACATACTTGGTTTTACTAGTATTTAGGCTTAAACGATTGATTTGTAACCATGTTGATAGTTTTAATAGGTAAGTATTAGCTGACAGTTCCAAGCACTTTTTTGTCACTCCCGTAAAAAACACATTAGTATCATCGGCATACATTATTAGCTCGGGGGAGTCTGGAATTTTAGTTATATCATTGATATACAAGAGGAATAGCAGAGGGCCTAAAATAGAGCCCTGCGGTACACCACACTGTATCCTCATTTTTTTAGATGACTGATCATTTATAGATACATATTGGTAACGGTCAGTAAGATACGTTTTAATCAACCTTAACGCAACTCCTCGAACCCCATAGTTTTCTAGCTTTTTCAATAAAATACTGTGTTGTACAGTATCGAATGCTTTTCTTAAATCTAAAAATAAATCAAGCGTGAACAATTTGTTTTCAATATTTTCAACAATTTTATCTTTTATGTCAAGTAACGCTAGTTCCGCAGACTTTTTTTTTCTGAAATCCATATTGTTCCGGCGTTATTATTTGATGTTTTTGAAGGAAGGAGGTTAGCCTATCATTTATAACCCGCTCGAAAATTTTTGAGAATGCTGGGAGAACAGAGATTGGTCTGTAATTATTAATTAAATTCTCTCCGCCTCCCTTGTAAACGGGAGTAATTTTGGCTATTTTTAATTCATCAGGGAAGTCTCCAGACTGGAGCATATTATTAACTATATGTGATAAAACAGGACTAATTATGCTCGTTGTGTACTTAATCGGTAAAGCCTTGATTTCATCATCTCCAGCAGCGACATCATTTTCTAAACTTCTTATAATTTTATCAATTTCGAATGGTGTTGTTGGAGCAAGCATGATTGATCCTAGCTGATATCTTTCAAATGTACAGTCACCCGCAATGCTATCATTTCCCGCGTACGATCCAATACTAATAAAATGCTGATTCATTGCATCTGCGAGTTCTTTTCCAGCGACAGTTACATTATCTATTACGATTTCCTTCACAGTGCAACGCTGCTTTCTGGTGATTAGATTGTTTATCGTGTCCCAAACTTTTCTGTGGTCATCCTGTACACGCTGAAACTGAGCTTGAAAGTAATCACATTTCGCCTTCTTCAGGTCTCTGTTCAATTCGTTTCTGAATTTTTTGAACTCGGCCAATAAGCGAGGATCACGAGTTTTAATGAATGCATGGTATTTACTGTTCTTTTCTTTTATTTTTTTATAAAGATATCTAGTTACCCAAGGCTTTCTTAACTTTTTTCTTTTTGTTTTTTTCTCCCGTAGAGGAAAGGCTGCGTCATAACATCGTTTGTATTTAATCAGGAAGTTTCTATAAGCCAGCGTGGGGTTGCACTCATCGTACACGTCGTCCCAACTTTGTTGCTCTATTATGGAGCCAAAACGTCTCAGTGTTTCGTCGTTTATTGAACGGTGCCAGAATTTTTCTATGTCACGATTTTGTTCCTTGATTGAAGAAGACCCAACGCAAAAAATAGGCAAATGGTCACTGATATCGTATAAAATTACGCCAGCTGTAGCATGACAACTATCTGTGATGCAGACGTCGAGGGACGTTGCCGTGTCAGCAGTCACCCTGGTTGGCAGTGTTATTAGATTGCTACATCCGTACTGGTGGATGATATCTCGAAATTTTCTCGCGTAAGGGTCATCTGAAATTGTATTTATGTTTACATCGCCAAGAATTATAAATGACGCAGATAGTGATCCAAGGAAACATAGTGCATTTTCAAGAAATTCAATGAATTCAAGCATGTTGCCCGATGGCGGTCTATACAAGGCAGCAACTACAGCGGCTGGTGTTTTAACAAACAAACTTTCTATATTTTCATTCATTCTTGTGAGATCATCAATAACTTGGTATTGTAAAGTATCCTTAATATAAACTGCAATTCCGCCGCCCCTTTTATTTTCTCTGCTCAGGCTTTTGCAGTTGTACCCCTGAAGGCATGGAGGCATGTCCCCTTTTGCTAGCCAGGTTTCCGTAAGTACGATAGTTTTAAATTCGACACTCAGCGAGTGTAAAAATATTTCAAGCTCGTCTACCTTATGTTTAATGCTTCTCGTGTTTAAATGTATCGCGGAAAATGTTTTCCCACAATTCTTATAGTTTTTATTGAAGTCCTGGCAATCATGATAGTTGCAATCAGGCAGTTTTTCTTCCATCATAGCTTCTTGTGTACTGTAGGACCGCAAGTATTTTGTTTAATTTCTTATTTTGTCAACATCGGACAGGCTAGCGATTCTGATAATGTCTGCGTTCTCGTCCTTCCGTGCGAGGATCTTCCCACCTGAGGACCACACAAACTTCCACCCGACGTCTTTCTTTTTGGCGATTGCAGCACCCAGTATCCTCTTGTTTGAGCTGGTTAAATGCTCATTCACGTACACGGGACTGCTGTGACCACCGTAGTCAAGGTCAGTACTTGTCAGCCTTTTCTTTTTGCTTTTTTGAAGGATTTTGTCTCGTTTCGTACGTTGTACGAAACGTACAATGATGTTCTTTTCTGTTGCTCGGAAGGTAGGAATACGGTGGCACACGTCAATATCGGAGTCTAATATTGGTTCGTCAAGAAGAGTCGCGATGCCTTTAAGCTTACTAGTAAATAAAACAAAATAAGAAATGACTGCACAAACAACTATTGTTTAATGTCTATGAATTGCGATACCATTCGTCATGAGACCCACGACGAAGCTCACTGTGAATACGGCGACAAAAAGTTTGAGTAAACACTTTATTAATGCGAAAGCATTGATTGTCGCATGGGGCCAGCCGACGTCATCAGCTTTGAAGCGGCGCCAAGCGGCACCAAAGTCCCTTTCTTTAAGTCAAGCCAAGATCTGATCACTCCCAGCTTTGACGCCACGCAAAAAGTCTTGCCAAACGGAACGTAGTTTCCCCGCTCCCCATGGAGCGCAGTAAAACCAAAATCTAATAGATTTCGGCTTCGGTCCCATTGGCTGGCGCGCGTCATAGTTTCAAGGAACGAGGCTCCCATTCGCCGCTGGGCATCAGTTTCAACGACCGCCACCCCATGGCGCTGCGTGTCCGGGCTGCCAGCACGGCGGTAACACGAAGCGTCTGGTCGCCGAGCGATACAGCGGCTCCATGCCCAAGGTCAGCGCGGCGAGGAGCGCGCCCTCTCGACCGTCGACGCAAGTACGCCGCAGACAAAATAAGAGAGCGGAAGAACGGCCATGCATGCTTTCGTATTCACAACTCATAAGAAGTGCTTAGGTGTACCTCGATCCTCTTTTCTTAATTCAATCTTGTGCCGAAAATTGTGGCATATGTCGTGGCGTCAAATTTTCCACTAAATTTAGAGGGGAACCTGAATTGGTGCATAGCTCACGTGACGTAAATTTTTCAAGAAGTTTCGCGGGGAACTTGTATTTTTCTGCAGATCCTTTGACGTGAGGTTAGGTGACATCAACCGTCCTGCCAAATTTAGCGGTGAAACGAAAATTGGAGACCGGAAAGGTCCACAAAACCAGGAAAGGGGGAGGGGGAGGGGGTATGGGTGAAGCTAAAGAGTGCTATCACAATCAAACACATAAAAAATTGTAGGATCAAAGAAAAACTATGGTTAGATGTTTACATGTTTGCATATATTGTACTACACACCCTAGAACTAATTAGGAACCACATAAATACGAGGGGGATAGCTGTTAGCTTTATTAGCATAAAACATTAATGGTAAATAGCACATAGTTTCATTACGGTGGCATATAGGCGATGTCTGTAAGCCGCCCTTGTAATAGAGGCAGAGTGCGGGTATTCAAGTGCAGACTGTCCGGTAACAGCAGTCGGGGTAAACTCCAGTGCCTCGTTCCAGCTCGCAGTTCGATGGTTTTATAATGTATCCGCAGCTGTGGGAAACAAAGAGAACAATGTATTAGTTCACAGGTTAGAAATAGTCTGGAGCTTGCGGTTGCTACGACATTGACTCTGGGGAACGCTCACTCACTCAAGGATGCCCGTACAAAAGCTTTCTGTCAATTTTCCACCTTGAACGTGGGCACATAAATTTACATTGGTGCATGTGATGAATTTGCTGGGGTAACAGAAATAATAGTGCTTTTTTTGCCGATAGCATTATTAAGCTACTCAACAGAGATTTCTGCCTAGGTATTTTGCTTTTAACTGTAGCCAATATTCCGCAAAATTTAGTGGAAAATTTACTTCACGCAACCAACTCACGAATTCAGGTTCCCCCCTAAATGTAGCGTAAAATTGTTTCAACTATGCACAAATTCAGATTTCAGGCTAAATTTAGCGGAATCAGGTTCCCCGCTAAATTTAGCAGAAATTCGACTTGACGTGACCTATGCACCAATTCAGGTTCCGCGCTAAATTTATTTGAGTCAGGTTCCGCACTGAATTTAGCAGAAAATTTACTTCACGCGAATATTGACCAATTCAGGTTTAAAGCTAAATTTAACAAAATCAGGTTCCCCGGCTAAATTTCGCAGAAAATAGAATTCACACGACTTATGCACTCAATCAGGTTCACCGCCGAATTTAACATAATATTGACCCATCCACCCCTCTCAATTTAGCGAACAATTTACGTCCCACGACCTATGCACCCCCCCCCCCCCCCCCCCCCAATTCAGGTTACCCGCTAAACTTAGCGGAGAACCTAACACCTTCCCGTGTGTGCAATGATGAATGACATCACGTTCACAAATAATCACCGGTGTGGTTTCTACAAATTTGTTTCCACCATCCTTTTTTTTTTTGTGTGTTCTGAAGTAACCCGGAATAGAGAAAATCTATGAAACAAGTTACAGTGCAGTACAAAAAGCAATAACACCGGGAGAAAATGATTGAAATGATGGATAAATTTGTTCGATTTAATCATTCGCGCTTTATATATATTTATTTTGTTCTTGGATCAAGGGTGTTGGCAATTTTGAATAGAGAAGAAAAAGACAGGAGCAGAAAAAATTATGTTTTTTGTTGATTTTAGGTAACTTCTGTAACCAGCGTAATATCATCTACTACCGATTTGCATGGTGCAGCTATAAAATGTTTAATGATGGCTGAATAAAAAAAAACACTCGTCAGACAAAATATAATTGTAGTTTTTATTAGAGTTCCAGTCTTAAATGATGGATCATATATAGATTAAATTATGTATAAATTTGCTACTTGTTCCTTCCACTGTAGCTATAGCTCTACATTGTGAAATAGCGCTTTAATACTTATAAAGACCCTTTGTTTTTTCTGCCTCTAAGGTGAATGTTGCCTTTGTTTTATGCGTTGTAGCTCAAAACAAAATGAAGTAAGAGCGCCCACCTCAACACAGAAAAGCGCTTTGCTTCCACTTCGCATTGCCACGTTTGGCACGGTTCAGCCAGGTTTAGTCGTTCGCCATCTGCCACGGTGTAATTCCCGTACGTGCATTTCCCTGCAAAAAAAAGACACTATCTCGGCTCAGTGTTATGACATCCTGAATCTCCGTACACCGTGGTGTTTCTTCCGAAGTGTTTTCTGGTGCGTAAATCCCGCAAGAGCAAAATTTGGGGCTGAGGAATGTTTCAGTTGTAGAGCATCACCTTTTACCTTAATAGGAAAACGGGTATAAGCAAGAGAAAAACAAATTTTATATTTCCAGAATACAAGTTCCGGGTGATAATACAAGTTCCGGGTGATTAAGGAAGAATAAAACAAATTTTATATATCTAAATCAAAAAGTGTCGGGTGTTTGGGATAAAATGCAGCAGTGTTTTTGTCCCCTTTTAAATAAATTAGACGAAACGCAGCCTTCACCCAATGTGTTGTACTAGCGTTTGGGACTCCAGGTGCCGAGTTTCAGAACTTGACATGATCTGGCCAAAAAGGTATAAATTGTTGTCGAAAAGATTCAATCAGAAAATGGGATTCCTTCACTCCATCGGACGTCACTCATATTGATTCATTGCAGCCTTTGCTGGACGCCATTTTCTCATTCGCTACTTAAAAAAAAAAAAAAAAAAAAAAAAAAATTGTCTTTTATTTGTGAATCAGACCACTGTAAGCTATAAACTTAGGCAAATGGTCAAAGCTACTGACACTACATTTCGTGAAAGGCTGAGCGATCGTCGACGCGGAGTTTATTTTCGACTCGGAAAACAATCAAACATGGTTATTTTTTTCCTTTAAACATTTAGGATATCTAAAAAAAAGAAACAACGCTCGGACGAAAACAAATAACGAAATCTTTAAAAACTCTTGGCACCTACCGTCTACGATTTCAACATCACTGAAGGGTGGTTCGGCCAGTGAAACCTTGAAGATCGAAATTGAGACCACGAGGCCCAAAAGTAGTGTTGTCGGGAGCTTCATCTTGGCGTTCTGCCGTTTTCTGGTGCGACTGAAGTCTGAAAGAGTTATCGTTGCTGCGGCAGCACCCGTGCTCTAATTTCAGCTTCCAAGTCTGGCCTTACTTGCGTATCTCTTGCAGACAGACGTCTCCAACCCGTCGAGATATTCCTCAAGTCGTTTTGAGTCTAGGCGCTAAGTTTTGTAAAAACTGGCCCCCTTGCAATGCGGTGGCTCAAGTGCGGCTAACCGGGCCCGTCTTCCATGATAATATTAATTCTTTATATTGATGTGTTCCCAAACAGAACTAAGCATAAATAGTTGTGCACTTTCATAGCAAAAGGGTGAATCACCTACAAGGAAGAAAAGAGACACGCAAAGTTATTGTCATTCAATCACTATCTTGAATGCTCGTCATGAAGTGTTCATACCGCAACAACAAGAACAACAGAAAAACCTATCTATTACAGATTGATCTAGCTTGCTATATTCGAGTTTTATTTTTGTAAATGGAACAAAACCGAGGATTAAAAAGCGTACTTAAAGCGGCTCGACTGAGAGGAGGCATGAAAGCAAGGGGTGCACATAGCAGTGATGAGTCAAGAGCTGGGCTCTAATTTTATGTAAAAACAGTAAATACTTTAACCAAGTTCTATTCAGCGAAGAACGCAATCCCGGTTTCTTAAGTAATCTGTCATAGCTATAGTAACACTCACCCGCAAAATACCTGTCGTATCAGCGCACTAGCAGAAAAGGCAGCTGGTAATATAAATGTAGAGATGTTTGTTTGGCCGAATGCACAGTGAGTGGGTGAAAACTTGTATTGTGAAAGGGCATCTCGCTTTGTTTGTTCTCGTGATTTGAGGTTGAATCTTCATATGTCCGTGAGGCTCCTTCAAAATACCTTTTTCGAAAATGCGTGCAATCGCATAGTTGCTGCGTCAATTAGCCGAGTCCACCATTTTTGGGCCCGTATTCTGAGCCTGGATAGGACACGAAGACTGCCCCCGCGTTGCGAGAAGACTCGAATTCAATCACGCGCTTCTTGTCCAAGCAATGGGAGCCACCGATGTTACTCGATGGGGTTTTCAAAAGGGTAATAGTGCGCCCAATTAGCTGACTGGTTTTGATGGTATGACACGTAGTGATGGTTCAGTCTCAGGCTGCTTCGCCACTTAAAACCTCGAGTACAAAGTAAAATCGAGAACCCGCTGATGGATCTGAACCAAGGATTTAATTAAAAGCAAAGAAGCCTTCTTAAAGCGGATTAAAAGTATTGATCTTCATCATACTATATACACTGACAGCACAAGTAACGTTAGGCGTGCTCAGTCGCGAGCGTCTTATTATCGCTCGGCGGTCAATGAGTGTGCGGATATTAGAGAGTTTTGGCGGATTGTTTTGATACCACCGATAGCGAAGATAAAGATACTCAGCAAAGATACGGTGCATGCGCAAACAAGTCGGCGGAATACCTGGTATTGTAATCAAAATCATCGGGACGATCTATACTAAAACTCCCTGTTAGCCGATAAGAACTACAGAGAATAAATCGGAAACCTTGAAGCGTGAATAAAATAGGTCAGGCCTCGCGTTACTTAAGCCCTCGGCGACCTATACCGGATGGAACCGGTGAGAAGGAAGTGAGCTAAAACGCATTTTTTTCTACTGTGGTTGAAATGGCCTGCTGCGTGTTATATACGCAGCAGGCCACTTCAACCATCTTAATTATCTCACCCGGTACGCTTAGACAAAAGCACTTCTGTCGGAAACCGCTGTAGAGGTAGCCAAGTTCTTGGCTTAGTCTATCATTCTCTGGCACGGCGCTCCCCAAGTCCTGATTATGGATGGAGGCTCCTCGTTCATGGCGCAGCTGACAGAAGAGATACTCCGCCTTAGCCACACCGACTGCTGTCCAACAACGGCATACCACCCGCAGACCAACGGGCTGACGGAGCGACTAAACAAGACTATTGCCGACATGATCTCAGTCTACGTGGACGTGGAGCACAGTACTTGGGATGAGGTGTTATTGCCCTACGTCACGTCTGCGTACAACACGGCGATTTAAGAAGCCACTGGGATCACACCTTTCCAGCTGGTGCAAGGCAGAAAGGTGACGACGATGCTTGATGCCATGCTGCCTAACAACCCGACGGACGACGGTACCGACAACGCCCTGCTGGTCGCCTTACAGGCAGGAAAGGAAGGTTATCTAGCCCGCCTTCAGATAAAAGACCAATATCGTGTCGAAGCTGTCCAGTACAACCTTTGTCGCCGCGACGTGCAGTTCCAGGCCGGAGACAGGATGTGGGGGTGTAGATGCCCATTCGCAGAAGCGGCCTCAGCGAGAAACTGTTAAAACGCTACTTTAGACCCAACAAGGTCATTCGCCGCCTTTGGGACTTGAACTACGAGGTGCTTCCCTACAGAACCCGACTTTCAGTGCGCCGCCAGCCACGACCGGAAGTGGTCCACGTAGTTCGACTCAAGCCGTTCTACGTGTGTTAAGACTGTGACACTCGATGCTGAGAGATATTTAGATTTACCGGATGAAGAATTCAATTAAACCCCAAATTTAAAGTGAAGCATAGGCGGGTTTTTAAACGCTCTTGCTGTGATTTTCTCTGACAAAAATCCTCAAAATATTTGTAGCGGATCATGTTAGAATTGTTACCTAAAAGAAATTTGTTTTTTTTTTATGTTTAGCCCATTACATTTGAGAGAATACATTTTACAATTTTTAAATTTTAAATTTTTAGTTCAGTTTAATATTCCTCAGGGTCGCTTCTATAAAAAGGAATCGCACGAGTAGGGGATACTGCCGCGCGCGCAGCTGGCCAAGTAGGCAGCGCGCGCGTGGCCTAACGGTTATCACGCTTGCCTCCCACGCAGAAGGCCGGGGTTCGATTCCTGGCCGCGGCTACACATTTTTGTTGACAGTGTAATTTGATGTTCTGGTGAATTCGAGAACCGTCTTGCTGATTCGAGGTCAGAATGTTCTACACGCCGAACCTTCTACGCCGATCATTCCAGAAGCCCACACGTGTACATAAGGGGCTCCGCGTGACGATCTGCAGTCAGTTTTCGCCCAGCGTTCGACTCTGCTGCTACGCCGACTTCGACGCCCGCGACGCTCCGTTATTATCTTCTGTACCCTTTTATTTTTGGCACACGTTCGCCACATTAAACGTTTATTTCTTCCTGTTTATTTCTTGTTTATTGGTCACCACCCGTGACAATATAGCACAAACATAAATAGTGCAGGTTTCCTAATTACAGTTCAGTTAATAATGATAAGAGATCAGATGACGGCATAGCTGGGAAACTCTTATCTGGTCAGAACCGCTAGCGATATATTTGGGCGTAAATGGAGCGTTCGGCATTGCATAGTTTATTTTTCTGTTAAAAAAAATAATAGAAAACGCCGTAAATGTTTTGTCGGGGACAAGCAGTACATGAAAAAATGAACAGAAGGTACGTACTTCTCAAAATGTGGGCTCTATAAAATCTACGGTACGGTCTTGATAGGACACAGAAGGTGAAGCACGACGCATAAACTCCGATAAATTGTATTGGGAATTACATTTTTTAATAATAATTTAATTTGCAAGACTAAAGACGTGGTAGTATTCAAGTCCTTGTATGGTCTGCTCGGCTCGCTGGTGTCGGAAACAATTTTTTTTTAACGTTTGCTTTGTAAATCCAGATTTGTAGAGTGGGAGGCAAAATGTCAATAAAATGGTTGCCAAAGGTAGAATTTGAGTGGTTTTCATTGTGTATTTTGAGTTCCTTGCTGCTATGTGGGCGTTCCTTGTCTATATACAGCCACGGTAGATCCGATGGCTGCACAAGGTGTGTTTGAAGCGGTTCTCTTTTCTATATGTATACATATGTTGATGAAAGGACGCTCTCATACTAACCTCTTAACATATTAATTAAAATCTTACTACAGTCAAGTCTCCCTATTATATGCATCATCGTTTCTCTTTTAAATTGCCTATAATGAGGATTTTTTACAACGAGACAAAATTAATGTTTTTAGAGCGCAGCTCTTAGGGGCCTGTTTCCAGCCTGAGCGGCGTCGGCGTCGCCGTCGGCGTCGGCGTCGGCGTCGGCGTCGGCGTCGGCGTCGGCGTAACCGCGTCCCTCCCCCTCCTGCTCCTCCCCCTCCTCCTCCCCTCCTCCTCCTCCGCCTTCTCCTCCTCCCCCTCCTTCTCCTCCTCCTCCCCTCATTTAGTATGGTCTGGGGGGGTCACGTGACCTCGGGGGGAGGGGGTCACATGACCCGTTTCCAGCCTGTGCGGCGTCGGCGTCGGCGTCGCCCCTCCCCCTCCTCCTCCCCTCCTCCTCCTCCTCCCCCTACTCCTCCTCCCCCTCCTTCTCCTCCTCCTTCCGGTGGAGGAGGAGGCGGAGGAGAGACGAGGAGGCGGAGGCGAGGGGAGGGGAGGAGCTTGAAGGACGAGGAGGCGGTGAAGGAGGGGGAGGGGTTGGAGGAGGAGGAGGAGGGGAGGAGGACTAGCAGGCATGATCACGAGGGACGAGGAAGAATATACCCTCCCCTCAGTACCCTTCCCTCCTCCTCCTCCTCAAGAGCTGCGCTCCAATTCGGCGTTACAGAGAGTTGTAAACGGCTTTCACTTTTTTTGTTTTCCAATTTCGTCACCGGAAACGTTTTCTATATTGGGGGTATTGGTGGATATTTTCAAGGTGTTTATTCTGGTCCATGTCTACAGTATTAACAAGGTCCATATTAACGAGCCATAACTGTAAGCAATATTTATTTAGATCATATAGCAGTTCATTAATTGAGCTCCTGCAAGTGTAGTGTCGGAAACAGTAGACAACAACAAAAAAATTCACTCAACGTTGCGCATTCGGAAAATGGCATGGGCGCATGAAAGTATTTTCACAGTATTTGGTTTGCTCGATGTATTTTTTATCTTTCTATGTCTATGTATATATCTATGTGTCTAAGGATGAACCAGTGCATGTATCTATGCATGTGCCTATGTATGTATCTATGTATTTAAGGGTGAACCAAATAATGCATCTATGTATGTCTATGCATAGTGCAATATGCATACAGGTATGTAGCTCTCGCTATGTATTTTGATGTCTACGTATTTTGTGTTATGGCAGGATTCACGTTGATCGATGGATACTGGAAGTGATTTCCGTAAGCTGATGTCAACAATAAGTACTCTGGTGACAGTAAATTTCTTGATGGACTCTCACACCACACTGCGCTACCGCGGTTTAACCGTTTGTGGTTCATTCAAAGGGGGGGGGGGGGGGGGGGGTATTGTTGCCACTTTGTGTCGATAATATGCAAAGGAAAGCGCTTTTGGACGGCGCTGCGATGTGAGTTTGTGATCAAGGATGACTATAAAACGGCCGAACTTAGTTTAAACAAATATTATTTGGAACACACAGTCGTCGTGCGTTTAATACAGAATTCATATAGTGACATCTTTCGTGATCATTATTTTCTAGCCACGATACAAAACAAGCGTAAGCACCAGTGTTGGCTGTTGATTGGTATGCATATTCCTAAACATTAAATTACAAACACAGACAAACTTTATTAAAGGTGCATTGAACCCCTGGTAACCAATTAACTTTAATTTTCCAAATCAGGGACATATCTCCGCTTTGCAGCAGTTTGGGAAGGCCCCGGCACCAATTTCAAGTTTGCAACCAGGTCCAGCACCCATGATGGGGCAACTGGAAAGAATAAAAACAATAAATGCCAGTAGAGTTTTTAAAACTAACATTAAAGAACCCCCGAGGCATCATTGCTCAGTATAGATAACCCTTTTCTTTAAATGCCAATGTCACATGATGTACACTTTTATTTTGAAGTTATAGTGCAAAAGGTGTCCGGCTGAGTTGACTTACACGCAACATACGTGTTTCTGAGTAAGCAATACAAGTGCGTCAGAACACTAACCATACTTACTCCTAGCACAATGTAAACTACCCAATTGGTTGCGGAGAAGATATACATTTATTTTTGCTCTAAGATTATATTAATTGCGTTGCTTTCAACAAGGCCTGTTGTTGTGTGGTTTTAAAATATTTTCTAAAGATATAAAGCGTGAACGTATTGAAATATTTTAGGTTGTCGGCTTGGCACCATCGTACAAACTCTACTGGATAAAATAACTCGTACGTGATTGATATTTTTAGAATGAAGGTTGTTTTATACTTGGAATCTGCAAAGGACATAGCGTAATTTAATCTCTTGGTGTATATTAACACCTGGCAATATATGTACGCAGGTGTACATGGCACGTTAAATGTGAATTCTACACGCGTCCATATGCTAGAGTGACAAAAGAAATCCGTTATTGACTTTTTTTAAATTTTTCGTAGCCTAAACGAGCGAATCAAAATGAAATATGTGCAATGATTTCATGCAAAAACGCAGTGTTCACAACTGGTAAATATTTAAATAAAATACATCCAACATATCTTTACACGCATTTCGATGTGTCGATTTTTTTTTCTAAACGTGTGTTCTCTTGGGAACAAAAATAACCAAAGTTCGAATATGTTTCTAGTCATTCTGAATCCTAAGATATAAGATGCTGGTAGTAACTTGCAGTGTACGGTGGCACAGTGCTGCTTGAGATGTTTTAACTTTAAACGGTTGGTAATTGAAACTGCGCGTTCAAAATGTCAAAAAGAAAGGAAACGAATCTGGGCAAACGCATTCACTTCCTGTTTTTTGTACATTCACCTTAATTAAAAGTATGTCTCCAAAAGTAAAACTGGTTAGATTTAAATGTCTTTCTCTATTGTATTAAGCAAGATCTTTCCAGGCTTATTTTGAAAATGGAAGGTAATGGGCAGTCACGAACGGATGCATGTTATATGAATATCAAGCACAATGAGTGTAGAGTAGGATAACGTGTTAGGGAATATATTTATTTTTCTATATGATAGCTAGCTGAACAGTACGCGAAGTTAGAAGGGCGAGACAATGAACGTGCAAGCGTCTATTTTTTGCTCTAGTAATTAGTATAAATCCGGGTCCGGACGCTAGGCACAGACGATACAATTTGCGTTTGACGTCGATGCTAATTAGCACAAATCGTGTTGTACGTTTATCTTTTGGGGTATTGCGTACCTTTTTACTTTTTGTTTGTTGATTCTTCCCTGTGAAGGTGTACCTTGCTTGCTTATCTTGATTCACAGTTAGCTCTGTTCCGTTGTTAGTGCTTTGTCCAGTGGCGGTGGGCACTTTCTTCATTAATTCTTCTTCTTTTTGGTCGAATATGTTTTTCAGTGACAATCTTTCCTTTAGATCCTCTTGCGACGTTTTGATTGTTTTTATTATTATCTAAATTCTTATCTTGTACTGGGTTTACTGTATTTTTCATCCCATCCTGTTTGAACCGCCACTTAGTTCGCGGTGTAAAATAAAAATAAATAAATGAATGGTTAACACGAATATTGCGATCACTCACCCAGCTATTATAACGGCTGATTGCTGAGCAAAGCATGTCCATGATTGACAAGGCGCTTCACTTGTGAAGGTGGCTCCATTTTCAATCGTAGCGTTCTTGTACTTGCACTTGCCTGTTAAACGAATGATATAAAAGAAGTTTCGTATATTCTTGGTGGTGAACAAATCTAAATAGTGACTATAGTAGAATAAATAGTGTATTGCGAGGAGGTGCGAAATTCCCGAAAAAGTTAAGAAGTGCTCAATTTCCTGAGGCATTGGATATTACGATGCCCCTCCCCCCCTCCCCCTCTAGACGTAGTAACACATAATAATTTTGTTGTGTGTATCTTTAAACAACGTAAAGCTCGCCAGTCCCATTGAGACTCTGTTATCTCTTGTATAGAAGAAAAAAAATGTACAGCAGAACCACTGCCCACTTGGGGGCCTTTAATCTGCATCACGCAGTAAGGATACACGATCACAGGCCGGTACGATGCTTTATCATTGTCTTCTAGTTTCATTTGTAACAATATAAGACATACAACGGACTCACGAAAATACCTCTCAGTCCCAGTATATACTGAAAAATGTGGTGTCACTTACCATCCAATATCTGAGCTGGAGCAATGGCCTTCCGCGCTTCGGTAGTGCTCCAGAATGCTGTTAATGCTAGCAAAAGGACGAATGCCATCGCCGAAACCTGCATGTCGCCGCCACCAGGTAGGTAAATGCCACTCGGCCTTTCTAAGTAACCTTCACTCGTTTTCAGCCAGCAAAACCTCCACTTAACTCTGCCCAAGGACGTTCTTTTTTTATTGGCGTATACATGCTCAAGAACGAGCAGCTTCGTCGGCATTGGAGGCAGGGGTGCTCCATGTGTATACGGTCATGGTCAAGGTGAACCCGCCAAGTCACGAAGCTCTCGCCGGTCGACATCATCCGATCTTCTCGTGACTGCAGCGTGATCAATAATCAGTTTTAAAATCTTTGCCTTGAAATTGTTATGCACGTGGGCAACCAGGTAATGATTATCCCGACTGTGCTTTTGGTATTTCTTTTTTGCGTGCGTTCTTTTTCTTTATTTACGTATCTTCGAACAAATTACGGCCACATACATTTCTGCGCACATTACCTACACCACATAAATGACAAGGCCTGGGTGTGACGTCATGTTTAGTGGACTCCCGACCTGCCCCAAGCGTCAAGTGCGCTTAATCTTGTTGAGAGACGCAAAGTGGCAGACACGTCGGCCTTGGCGCCGCCGCACGTTTGTCACGCTGGTTGGAACGCTGCGCGACGCGTTGGAGGTGAAACTGACGCAAGTTAGGCGGCGCCCCGTGTATTCACAAGTGATGACGTTTGGTGGCGAAATAGACAGGCCTTGTTTTCTAGGTGGTATCGTCATTACGCACATCACCGAATTCTTCAAACAGAAATTGTTTCTATTCAACGTAAGCTCACATTTGTTTCTATCTATATACTTTACGTCTTAGGTTTCAGAGTTCATGTTTGAAAATGATTGCTAGAGCTTATGATTACTTTAACCCACGACAGGGGCAGGAGAAAACATTTTTCTACGGTGGAAGAGAAGGTAAAAGGGAAAGACACTGTCTCGGAAATAGTTGATCATTTTATTTAGCTTCTCTTTTTAGTATTCTGAGCTACAACCGCCACAGAACTACCCAGCATTATGTTTTTCAAGGTCGAGCACTACCCTCACCCGGATCACAAACCAAAGTGAAACCACGTAAACCGATCACGATCGCCTTTCGGTTTAGGCGAAACAACCTTCGAGACCTCTTGAGGTCAAAAAAATAATATATACAATGCTTTTGAACCACGAAACACACACACTGTAATACCTTTGGCATTATGGCAAACTTCCGCCAGATCGCCTGCCCAGTGACTGTAATTTTGATTGAATCCGTTTATGTTAAGAATAGCTCGATGACCTATTATTTTTGTTCTGTCCCGATCTCCTAAATGTAGCGGCCAGCGGCCTCGTCAAGCTATCCTTTTCGATATTGTTTTCCATCTTGAACCCCCATTGTTTCACTCTAGGATTTGGGAGAGTCAGTCGCTCAAATATACCGAGGGTGCTCGGCGAACAAAGAGGCTTAAAATATATTTTGACTTAAGAATCAGTCTTCGTTGTGCCACTGAGCATGATCTTTCGTCATGCTCAGTGCCACAGAGCAGAAAGACTTCGCAAGTCTCAACGTAATTGCAGCCTCGCCGTTGATCGAGATCCATCAGTGGATGGCAACGATTGGCTCCTCCAAGGACATTGCGGGAAAGTATATTGATTTGGGATTTCTTAGCTTGTCAATCGAGACATGCGTGGCGCATGGTGTGGAACTGGCGTTGACGAGTCAACGAGAAAAGACACCAAAACACGAAATTGGGGATCGGCTGTATTGTTCGTAATTACAGGTATTAGTCATCGCTCGACTCTTCGGCAGTACTGTTGTGTAGGTGCGAGTCTTCCTTCACTTCGCAAGTGAGTTGTGGGCAGCACTCTGGGTAGACGCCATGACCCGGGATCAACCTGCAACCTTCTCCGACCCCAACGACTCCGCACCTTTCAGCGGAAAGCAAAGGGAACATGAGATTATTCCGATCAAAATAAACTATGCGGAGCGCAATTTCGTCTGCTACTTTTGCACGGGTTGTGGTAACGTCAGAACGCCGAGCTTTGATTGATTCTGATTTAAGGATAGTGGATAGACCTCTGATTGGCTCTGATTGAGGGATAGGGGGTAAACCTCAAGGCAACTAGCATTGAGGTCTACCCACTACTTTTCAGTAAGAGCCAATCAGAGGTCGGCGTCTTTCTGACGTCATCATAAGCCCTGCAAAAGAAGCAGACGAACTCGCGCTCCGCATAGCCACCGACATAGCCTAAGAAAGCTGGGGCGAGGCGAGTCCCGAGCACGTTATTAACATTCAGCAGCCAATGAGGTTTCGCCATTAGCCGGTAAAGCCTCCAAAAAGCGTATCACGAAGGGACAAACATTAAAATATTAAGCCCCGCCTCCCGCTTCTTAAGCTTTCAGTTACGATGCAACAACTCAACTCTCTGACGTCACGGCACTGCGGTGGCACTGCTGTCGGTACTGTGCATGCGCACACGCTTCACCTTGTGAAAATATGCATGGTTTCTGCGCACGCGCACTGCCCAGACCATGGTGTGGAGAAACGGCGATATGTTTCTAAGCAGTGTGGTTGTCTATAGGAACTCTAGGCTATAGTCTATTGGAGGTTAAGAAGAGCAGGGCAAGCTCCTCTCATAAAGAACTACGGCCTTTTCACTAAGGAGGAAACTACCATTCAGGGCGAGCAGAGCGATTTGTGTAGAAAGGCCTTCCCCTTCTTACGTTACAGACTATCGCTTATTTCCCAGCGAAACCGTTCATCGGCGTGCACACCTGCATTCTCACTTCCTTATAATTGCAGGGCACGGGTATATGAGGTGCTCGAAGTAGCGAGTAGAGCCACTAAGTATGCCGAGCTTAGAGTAGCGACACTTCATTTTCCGGTTTGCTTGGGGGTTCTGCCATTTGTTTGTGCTTAGTGCAGAGCGGGCGCAAGAGGCCCATTTTCAAAAGTCCGCGCCAACGCCTCTCCGCCGTTGCCTGATCACATACTCTGAGCGTGTATTGGGCACGAAGACTGCTTGAACGTTCGGCAGAAACTCGGCTCTGGTCGTGTTGGACACGAGTGCAGACGTCAGCGTTCGGCGAGGACTCGGATCCAATCACGCGCTTCGTGTCCAAGCAATATCGACTGCCAGTGTAGCTTGATGGACTTTTGAAGAAATAGTCTGTCATCAGAGATAGTTAACATTGGGAAGCCTCAACTTCCTGATGTTTAGAGTGTCAGGAAGCACGGGCAATATCGTTTCTTTTGTGGCAGACTGTTTCAGCATGTGTGGTGGACAGAATCACGTTACCTTTAATCTCAAATAAAACTTTTAAAAAAAGAAAAAAAAAACTGGCAGTCATTATTTTAGGCACTAAGACGCCGTATGTATATTTAGGTCCAAGCGTTAAATGTTTATAGTGGCTCCAGTACCGACAGGCCCCCACTCGTCTGTTCGTACAGTAAAGAAGACGGCACAACCTGAACGCGTTAAAAACTCGTTTGTTAGCATTCCTTTTATAGATTAAAAACATCACTACAACTTATGCTGAGTCCTCTTTTCGAGGTTTGCTCTTCGAGATGAATAAGCCATCATTCCACGCTCAATTGGTGATTGCCTTACACTCCCAAATGTACAGAATAGTTACCCTTTACCGAATGCATATAATTGCTATACATACCCGAATATGGTAATATCCAAAGTGGTAGCATCGCACCTCCACGATTCGCACGGGTTCTCACTGAGGTGCGCAGTGCCATGTTCGATTGTGACGTTGTTGAAAAAACATTTTCCTGTTAAAAAAGGGCAGGTAATATTGTCGTAACCGGGAATGAATACCCATCTATATAATGCTATACGCACAGGCACCATAAGTTTGTATTCGGAATATGTTTTTTAATAAGATAGTTAAGTGTTGTAAAGCTATGACGGTGAAAAACTCCCCCCCCCCCCCCTCTCTTCAAAAAGAAAAAAATGCTGGAAATATGCAGAGTAGTCCCTAACTGATATATGTTTGTCTAAAAAGAAGTGATACAAAACACTTTCTCGGTAATAGATATGTTATAAAAATGTTCTTTTGTTTGTCTCTTCCACACTTGAATGCAGAAGGAAGATTTATTGCTCTCAAATGGTTTAGTTGGCTCTGACTTTGGGCTTGTTTTTTGTACGTCAATTTAAAAAATGCTCTGTACAAAGTGCGATGCATTATACATAAAATTTTACTGTAGGAATGTCTATGATTTAAATAGCGTTAGGATAGGTTTAAAAAGTAACATCGTCACTTTAGATTGTTTCTTACGTGGTTTCCTAATCCTAAAAAACGTACACGCATAAAAAGGAATGGCTGAATTAGATTTGATGGCTTTAAAATCAAGAAACCACAAGACGTTTTTGATGCTCGAATTTTATAAAATATAAATCACTATGAGTATTCCTCCGAAATCAATTAATCAACTGATTCAGGCCAAACATTGAATTGTTATTGCATGAAATTAAGTTGGAACGAAGGCTAAAATGTTTTGCCTTGCTTCGGGGAGCTTCATGACTGACGGCTACTGGGTCCTGCTTTTTACCATAATTATTTGGAGCAGGCACAGATAGGAATTCCCACTTACCGTCACGATCTTCGGCTTTTGCGCGAGCAACGTAAGCGTCCGCAAGACTCCAGGCTGTAAATACAGCCACAAGCCCAAAGAAAAGAGGAGAAGAAAACTTCATGATCACGTTCTGAGTTCTGTATTTTGTCTGAGCCTCGCGTGTCGCATTACCGATGCTCTTATAGTCGGTGGAGCCAAGTCGCGTCTTGCGAAACGGCGACCTTCGTGTTTATCTGCTATTCAAGCGCGCAATATATTCTTACACCTTAAAAAAAGGACTAAAAATAAGATAAGTGGAAAGGGCCTATCCAATCGGACCTCGGACGCTAATGGTCTGAAGTTTCTAGGCATATGCAACTTTGCGACTTATTCAGTTGTTTTGCTATCTGGCGGGGAATAATATTACCATACAGGCATTCAGCTTTAAGGCTTGCATTGGTTTGAATTTGTGTAATGTATTAAATTAACTTTTTTTTAGAAAAAAATTAAGCAGTCATTTAACACTGTTTCGTAAGCATAGTGCAAGCTGTGCGACTAACTTAAACTTGATTTTAATACTAAATGTTTTCTATTTTTATTTTGTTTATTTATAAAAAACAACATGGTTGTATCATTTTGTTTCCATTAAAGTTAGAGCGCTCCAAATTGTACCTTCTACACCGTCATTTTTTCCAATGCCAAAGACGGGGTTATCTTTTGATTCGGTATATTTAATGACTAGTTATGATTTGGTGCTCAATACGGGTATTGGGCTCAAGTTTAAGTATTCTACTTATTTCAAACAATACCCGCTTTGCTCGTCCTTTGTACTTATTTACCAGTAAACCTGCTTTCCCCTTTCAAGTTACAACTTCTAGGAGCTTTAAGGGCTGTTTATACCCCGACTTTGAGCTCAGTGACCGCGGCGTAGCGCAGAACGCGCGCCTTTCATTGGCCGGCAACCAAAAACTCGATATCTGCGACCAATCAGCATCTGTGCGCGCTGCGCTAAGCCGCGCCCGTCGACGTTACGTTCGAGTATAAACGTACCTTTAGCCGCATTTCTTCCACTTGTAATCTGTAGAGGACGAGGACCAACGCGGCACGTGAAGGGACCGCGCTACTAGTGAGAAGGAAAGGAAGAGAGTGACCGAAGGACGAGGCTCATGGCGAGCGAGGCGCGTGAAAGGGAACGAGACGAAAACCAGCAGCCAAGGTCGAGGACTGCCAGCCCAGGGACGAGAGCTGGACCCGTGTGACTTTCTCGGGGCGAATGGAACTCGGCCTGATCGGGTGATTTTGACGGGCGACCATACATCGCTACTATTATCTCCTTTTTGGAATGTTTGAGCCACCAAGCTTGTTAAACGGCTATTCATGACGGTTGTGGGACCGGCTGGCCAAGGTGAGCCTGTGACTTCACTGGCAGATTTTTGCTAAGATGCCCCTTGAAATTACAAAAATAAATATATTTTAATTTTTTATTCGAGTAAAAAATTAACAAGTAAAAAAATACGAGCAAAGATATTGAGCGCACTAGCTGCCGCGTTTGCAGGAGGGTGTCTTGAGACGTCTGCGTTTTTTCGCCCTCTTTAAACCAGACTGACGAATTCCTCTGAGCACTCACATCTATTGCAATAATTCCAAGGAGCGAGAGAAAATTCGTCAACTCCGAATGTGGCAAATAGGGAATGCACGAACTGATTGAAGCTGTCTCACGGCCGCAGCGTTCCGGGAGGAGAAATTTGAAACCCTTGTGGAGTAAATCCAACTCCGTCTCTCTTATGGTCACAGTTCAGGTACGTGGCAGCGAGCTCTTCCCGAAACAGCACACAAAACTAAGCCTTAATTTATCCCAGCAAAAGAGTCAATAATCACGTTGTCGGTGCATTTAAAAGAATGCGTTTTACCGATGCGGAAGCTGTTTTCTCGCATTGCATCGTTCCACGCGACCGATCGGAAAACAAAGCGCAAAGAGCTAAGCCTTAAGCACCCAAACGACCACCCATGAAACCAATTTCTGAGTCCCGAGGTTTGAAGGGTATTCGTTGTAACCCTGCCTCCACGTGCATCTTGTTTTGCAGAGGGACGTGCTATCGCTTTGACTCGCTGGCACAACCGGTGCTAAGCAACACTTTCGTCAATATACTATCGGCTCCAGTAGCCAACACCTACGTCAAAAGAGAAATGCTGCGAGTCCTAAAAGCGAGGCGCGCAGTAGTAGATGGCACCGAACTAGGACTAAATCAAGAAGGCGCCGGCTCATACAGAATGCAAACCCCAGAAGCGTTACGGCAGTAGCCTCCCTTCGTAAACTTAAAGAGGGGCTTTAGGTAAGGAGACAGAGACGGCATGGCCGCAGAGCACACGAAATTCTTGCCTGTTTTTTCCTGGTGTACTTTTCCTTTCGGAGGAACTGAATTTTACATGCTTAGACTTACTCTGTACGTTGCTTCATAGAAACGCTCATAACGCATTATCTTTCCTTCTTTCTCTCTCCTGTCACGCTTTCGGGAGGTCGCGGAGTCTTGCGATCGTTAGGCAAGGCAATACGCGCTGCGGTCATAAACAAACGAAATGGTTGCCCGTCCCTCGTAGTTGCGTCTTGGCAGAACGTCTTCAGCCGTGGCAGCGGCTTACACCGTCTGTAGTGTGTTTTGTGGTGACTATATTAGTAAACACTAAAAGAAGATATCAAAGAAGAGAAATTTTCGCAGTGTGTAAGATCTGGATGTCGATCCTCCAAAGAGAATCGGGCAAAATCTTCCAGTTTGTGCATTCTCTCTTTGATGCCAGATCCGGAGTCGACCGATTTTGGAGCATTTGTTAGAATTGTTGCATTACAGGTGAGTGCTTCGCGAAATTCGTCAGTCTGGTATGAGAAAGAAAAAAAGACGGGCCTCTCAAGACGTCCTTCTGCCAATGTGGGCAACTAGTGCGCTCGATATCTTGTCATTATTTTCTTAACGTTAATTTTTTTCTTTTATTGGGACCCATGAATACAAGTATTTTTAATCGTGACGGACGCCTTACTGAAAGTCTACCAGTGAAGTCGCGGGTTTGCCTTGGCCAGCCGGACGTACAACCGTCATTAATAGCAGTGGAACAAGCTTGGGCTTAAACATTTGCACTTCATCGCGAATATATATATATATATATATATATATATATATATGTATATATATATATATATATATAAGTAAAGTAAGGTAAATATAAAAACAATGGACCGGGAAAAGTTAATAAGTCGAATATGCGTAGTGTCGGAGTTACTAATTCGAAGTTTATTACGACGTTTCGAGCGAGGTGCCCGCTCGAAACGTCGTAATAAACTTCGAATTAGTAACTCCGAGAGTACGCATCTTCGACTTATATATATATATATATATATATATATATATATCTTCCTGACGAAGGCCGGACTCCGGCCGAAACGTCGAAGATTAAATCGTCCGTTGTTGCTGTTTTCACTAAGGGTTTTTTTCTTCTCAGTTTTATATATATATATATATATATATATATATATATATATATATATATATATATATATATATATATATATATATATTCGCATCCAATTTGCATCGCTGTAGTTCTTTTCTACTTCTTTCTGTAAAGAAAACTGTTGTAGCAATTACATTTTTTTGTCCCGCTTTTGTGGAGAATTTTCAGCTAATGTGCCTAGAGTTTGTAATTTTGAAGGACAAGAAAGAGGTGTATTGGTTAGATAATTAAAAAGAAAAGCAACGCAGGTACTGCTTTATTTAGTGGAATACTTGCACTTGAACCCGGTACCCGAATACAACATGCAAAAAGTATATCTAACAATAAAATAGACAAAATCAAACGATAATCTCGTCTGTGGCATTAGGCAAAAATGCCGGCTTGGAAGGCACACTTTGCAGCGCTGTAACTTTAAAGGAAACAAAATGATGCAACATGTTTTCGTACGAAAAACACAAGAGTATGATGGAGAACTATCACTATAAATTTCAAAAATATCGAAGATGTAGTTTTTTAATTGTGCCTTGAAGTTTAAGACAATTTGGGAGCGACAAAAAGATATTTTTTAAATGAATCAATGATCTATGTATCACTAGAAAGAACATTTTAATAAGAATATATGACATAAGTTTAAATGTTGTCACTATTTAAATTTGTTAGATAACGGCTCAGAAATCTAGTGACAAAACGTCAAAGGAGCCGTGTTTGCACCTTTTGGACCCCAAAATATATAACGCCAACGATTTTGAAATATTAAAATAAATAGTTCTCATTATTTATAACAAGAGGAAAGTATCGGCGAATTCTGATATTCTTAGTCGGCGTCGTAGGTGTCACCAAACATGACATAGACGAAAACTTCAAAAATCAAATGTGGCGTTCTAAACATGCTGAAAAGTAATATATACACATGGTAGCAAAAACAAGGAGAAACACGTCCTAACTTTCGTGCTTGACCTTATCTGAACTCAGCCTTCTTTTTTAACATTGTCTAATTTATATTGCGGCCCTCGAGACGACGGCAGATCCAAAATCCGGGTCTTTAGCCAAAACATTTGGCGAACTCTGCTGTGGACGAACCCTACAATATCATGGGCAGAGGGTCGGTCGTTAATGAGATTAATGATACTCCGTATGCCCCGCGTTTATTAGCCTGTGATTGACTATGGTTAGCTTGGCCGTGACCCCGACATTGCGAGTTCAAGCCTTTCCATGATCAAGGGTCCGAGCCTTCCGCTCCTGAGATAATACAAAAAAAGCAAGCGATTCTCGAACTTACTTTTTCTGCGCCCTGTGTCTCCACTTCTCAGATGACAAGGCGGCGGATGCATTGCTATCCGTCCTCATCGAACAAGTCAACTCTCGGATTGGAACCACGTGGTAACATCCTGTATACGTATTCACGCACAGAAGGCGGAGTTGGGTGAAAGGTGCAGGCGAGTAATTGGTCTGGTTTGCACGTAGCTTCCACAACCCTATCTGCTTAGCGGTGAACAGGGCATAGCATTTTGCCACTGGTAAACTGTTCTCCGCTGGTTGCGATCGTGCAGTAGAATTAGTGAGCGGCTACGGCCCTTCGAGTTCAACAAATTTAGTTTTTTATAAAATCGCGGCCAATGAATGGTTAAAAAGAAATTCATTTTTAAAAGCAGTTTTCTGGCAACAGGCTCTTGCGGACAGAAATCAATATATTCGAAATACATCGTCAAAATATACTATAAAATGCCTAAAAACGCGAAC